AATCCCCGGCTGGTGGCAGAGGCAGCAACGTAACCTGGCTGCAAGGCTGCTGGTATCATTCTGGAGGTAAGGGAGGAGCTGTTAGGGGATGGCTAGGAGGCTCCTGGTCTTGGGCATGACCTAAAACTGTACCCTGCCAGTAGTGGGTGGCCTGGTGGGGCTCTCAGTGGCATGGGAGCCCCCAGGAAATGCCAGGCCAATGATCACCCTGGTGAAAGGTGGGTGGGGGTGCCTTAACCCTAGCACTCACCTTCAGGTGGGTTTGCGTAACACCGGAGGCAGTTGGGGCCAGGCACAGTTACGGCCACCTGAGCCCTGTAGGGGGCAAGACTGGGAGGAGAGAGAGTTGGGGCCAGGCACGGCTACGGCCAACCTGAGCCCACTGGGGAGGGAAGGCCCATGGCCCCAAGTGAGGGCAGCAGAGATGAGGAGCCCCGAGTGAAGGGGAGTAGGCCAAGGTAGGTTTCTAGATGCCTGAGGCTGTAATTTGGGCCAGAGGCCGAGTAAAGGGGGCTCAGCCCGAGAGAGAGGGGTAAATCCTGACCCTGGTAAGTCCTCCACCGCTGGGAGGCCAAGCGTGGGTCAAAAGCAAGATCTATAATGAGCACAATGACATGATGCTCCAGGGGGGGAGTGAGAGTCCCTGTGAGACCCTGGAACACACCGGTCATGGTGCGAGTTACCCCAGCTCCCACAACCAGGGGGGTAACTCCTAGTAGGGGCCAGAAGGCAGACCCAAGAGAGTGAAGGGGCTAGTGGCAGGGGGCGTGATGAGAATACCCTACCCTCGGCTGGTCAATGCTGGGGCCAGGACCAGAAAGGTCAAAAGGGCCAGGGGCTCACTGAGGGATGTCCAGAGCTGAGGGCCTGGGGTTCTGACTGGCCTTGGAGGTGAGGCCAGGGCCTGTGTGGCCAAAGGTCCTGGGGGGACCACGCCCGAGAGGGGAAATAGTTTCAGGGAGCTAGGCAGCCCGAATGAAGGTGGGCTACACTGCCGGAATGGAGGGATCTTAAAGGGGTCTGAACTGAATGATTCTGGGGCCCAGTGTGGGGCTGGTGAGATTAACATCAGTGGATGCCATCTGTGAGGTATGGGCTGCTGTGTAAGGAAGGTACGGAGCTGCAGATAGCGCCCCCTGGCACCTGGGCAAGAATGGGCAGCCTCCCCCCTTAATTAACATCTTAATTAATTAAGAACAAGGCATGGCAGGTGAGTCAGGTGGGAGGCATGCCCAAAGGCAAGTGGGGAACCTAGCACTGTGGCTAGGTGGGGAGCCCCACTTTGTCACACTTAGTTTAGATGCAGTTCTATTAGTAAAATTGTACAAAGGTTACTAATTGTACATAGTACAAAGTGCTTTGCATGCATTTCTGAAGCTACAGCTTTGGCATTATTTCATACTGTACTCACGTACTAAAAAAGTACTCCCAGTGCAGACATGGCCTGACAAACAATAGTTGTACAAAAAAACAGGATTAAGTGGATGGCTAGAAACCTTTGTGCAATTCAATCTGATTGTATAAGATTTGTCTGCTCAGATTCAAGCATAATCGCTTAGTAAAATGTTTAGAAATTAACAGAGGAAGAGAGGCTTTTATAATCCTTTCATAAAATTAACTTTCTCTTTTTAAAAGGTTCCTGCTTCGGATTAAGGTGGTTCACACCAACTAATGAGGTCCCTCTTTGTGGTCATGCAACGCTAGCAGCAGCTGCCGTATTATTCAATATACAAGGTATTATTTTTACATTATTCTATATTATGATTATTTTTACATAATTTGCTAAATTTTTCTGATTTTAAAAATATACTCACACTGCTTTTTAATTATGCTCCGCAAATACAGCAGTTAAACCCCAAGAACACTTGAGGGTGGCCCCTTAACTAGTTATCTTTTTCTCATGCTCTGCTGTTACAAGGCAGTCTACATCCAGATTCCCCTGACCTCCTTTCTCTGTCATTAGTTAAAGGAACTGAATGTGCAGGTCTCAGCTGGTGCAGGGAAGTCCAGAAGAGGTAGAGATATTGCGGAGTATGTTCCCCTTCCGTTACGGCCAAGAGGAAGCCCCTATCTGTCATATGCTTCAGCTGTTTCTTTATTGAGTTTGTAGGAGTTTTGCCTAAAAAAACAACTGGCTCAAGAATTTTCTTGGTATGTAATCCCATGTAGATAGTCTGCTAAAATAGAATAACTCTACCATGTAAGATGAAGGAGCAAACACTCTGGACAGTAGGATTAGGATTCAGATTGACCTTGATAAATTGGAAAAATGATCCAAAATTAATCAAATAAAATTCAGTAACACTAAATGCAGAGTCCTGTACTTGTGACGGAACAATTGCATGCACAAATGCAGACCAAAGAATGACTGGCTAAACTACAATACTGCAGTCAAGGACCTGGGGGTTATTTTGAACCAGAAGTGGGCATTTAAGTGGCTGGAGGGCCACTTAAGGAGTTTTGGTGAGCTGTTGCAGGCTGGGTCAGCACCCCACCTCCCTCCAGCCCTCAACAGCTCACCAAAACTCCCTAAATGTCTCTGCCCTGGGACCTGGCCCCGTGCTGACACCACCTGGTGATCCTGGGGTCTCCGTAGAGACCAGCCCGGGACCCATGCAGGCAGGGTGTACTTGGCTGGGTTAATGGGTGGTGCTATAGGCGGGCGAGGAGTGGCATCTGGGAGCAGGATGGGCAGGCAGGGCTGGGGCTGGGATTGGAATCGCAGGGTGGTGGCAGGGTGGGACTGGAGCCCAGGGCAGGGTCGTGATCTGTACTAGTGCCTGTTTCAGGGACACATAGGCAGCAGATTGTGGCTCTGCCTGAGGCCCTGAACCTGTGCTGTCACTGCCCCACGATCCTGATCCTAGCCCTGGCCCTGCCTACCCATCCTGCTCCATGGAGACCCCACCTGCCTGCTTCATCCAGTGCTCCCAGTGATAGGTACAGGGTGGATGTTCTGGGGTGCCCAGGCAGCAGGGCCAGGTGTGGTGGTGGCAGAGCCATCCCTAGGGGTGTGTGGGGCCCAGGATATATCAGCCTGTGCGGGGCCAGGGGGTGGCAGCGGGGCAGGGATGGTGAGCGGCTACAGCACAGAGCTGGCAGCCACAGCGGAGCTGACAGTGCATGGCAGCCACAGTGGGGCCTATACGGCACTGTCCGTGGGGCCCAGGGCGGTTGCCCTGATTCGCGCCCCCTGGGGATGGCCCTGGGTGGTGGCAGTGGAGATTGGCAGTGGCAGCTGGAAGGAGCTGTTGCTGTAGGGGCTGTTAGGAGGCAAGTGTGGTCACCATGCTGCCTGGGCACACGTCACAGTCCAGACTGCCCGCTGCTCCTGGGCTGGGAAGGGCTGAGGGACCCACTGTGGGCTGGATAAAATCTCTTGGCAGACTGGATCTGGCCCTCAGGCAGTGTTTTGCCCACCCCTGTTATGGACTATAACGAGCCAACAGCATGCCATTGTTGCAAAAACCGCCAATAACATAATAGGCTATATTAGTAAGGCCTCACCTGGAGTACTCTTTTCAGTTTTGAGCCCCTCATTTAAAAAAAGGCACAGACAAATTAGAAATAGTCCCAAAGTGATTTGAGTTCTGGGAAACATGAGTTATGAGGAAAGGTTAAAAGAACTGGGATTTAACCTGAAGAAGAAAAGACTGATGGGGGATCTGAGAACAGTTTTCAAATATCTGGAGGGTGGTTATACACAAACTATTCACAGGGGACAGGACAAGGAATAACTATCTTAAATTTCAGCATGGGAAATTGAGGTTGGATATTTGGAAGAACAGACTACCTAAAGAGGTTATGGAATCTCCATCCTTGGAAATTTTTAGGAGAAGGTTGGACAGACACTTGTCCAGGTTGGTTTAGAAAGGGAGGATCCTGCCTTGAATAGGCTTTTGGATGAAGTCCTGAGGTCCCTTTAGCCCTACATTTCTATGGTTTTTTTTTATGAATCTAGCTATTTAAATATGCTAAAAGTGATACTCATATAATTATAAAGATTCTTTTCCTATTCCTCCAACTTCTTATTTCAATGACAAATATTGCAATGTTTTTTTCTTTAGAAAACATGAATTCAGCTCTCACTTTTGTAACACTGAGTGGTGAATTAAAGGCTAAACAAGAAAAAGATCATATTGTCCTGGACTTACCCCTTTATTCAACTTACCCACAGGTCAGTCCATGTTGTATATTTGTATGTTGCTTTCAAGAAACATGCCTCTATTGCTTACAGATTTTGTTTGCTTCTTCTAGGAGTTTCAGGAAGTAGAAGAGCTAGTAAAGGTAATTTTTGGCACATGTATGCTATTGTTCAAACTAATTTTTCAAAGGCTATAAATATTTTCTTATGTTAAAATGAATGAAAAATGACTAATAGTGCACAATGTCTCCATATGAAATTATGTTCTTATGTGCAGATATCTAAATGCAGAAATTCAGGGAATAAAATGTATTTTCCAACCTAGCAGTGGACTTTCAGGTTGTGGCAGTTTCTCTGGTTTCAACTCCAGCCCTTTATTGAATAGCAGTCTTTCAGTGCCAGCTTTTGGTCTAATATAACCACAAAGGCTGCTTACATACATGGAAAAAAAACCCAACAAATGGCACTTTACGTTCAGTTTGGTGCATCCCTGCACCTAGCACAGCACATGCCCAGAAGAGACATCATGTTAGTTTGACCTGGCTCTCCCAGTGTCTGTATCTGTAGCAAACGTATCTGTGTCATCCTGGCGAGAAATGGGTAGCGGTGTCCCACAGGGGTCGGTGCTTGGTCCAGTACTTTTCAACATCTATATTAACGATTTGGATGTGGGGGTAAAGAGCTCACTGACCAAGTTCGCAGACAACACCAAGTAATGGGGAAGCATGGTCACACTTGAAGATAGGCTACAGATACAGGGGGACCTAGACAGGCTAGCAAGTTGGGTGGATCAGAATCTAATGAAGTTTAATGTCAAGAAATGTAAAGTGCTCCGCCTCGGGACGAGCAACCCCCAACACATTTACAGGCTTGGTGGCACCAAACTGACTAGAACCACAAATGAAAAGGACCTGGGGGTAATAAGAGATCACAGTATGAATATGAGCCGGCAATGTAATGCTGTAGCCAGTAGGGCAAATAATACTCTGGCATGCATCATTTGATGCATCTCCAGCAAAACCAAGGAGGTGATTCTTCCGCTCTACTCAGCACTGGTGAGACTGCAGCTGGAGCACTGCATTCAGTTCTCGGCACCACACTTTAACAAGGACATGGACAAGCTTGAGAGAGTCCAAAGAAGAGGCACCCATATAATTAGTCTTACATGGCAAGCCATATGAAGAAAGGCTGAGGGATCTAGGACTCTTCAGCCTGAAGAAAAGAAGGCTGAGAGGGGACCTGGTAGCAGCTTACTGTTACACTAGGGGAGTACGCCAAGGGCTTGGTGAGCAACTGTTCACCAGGGCATCCGAGGGGAGAACTAGGAGTAATGGCCACAAACTTCTGGAAGACCGATTCAGGCTCAACTTTAGGAAAAACTTCTTCATAGTCAGGGTTTCCAGACTGTGGAGTAAGCTCCATCCAGAGGTGGTGCAATCACCTACCCTGGAAATCTTCAAGAGGAGACTAGACAGTCACCGTGTTGGGGTCACCTGACCCCCAGTTATCTTTCCTGCTTGGTGAAGGGGGCTGGATCTGATGATCTTCCAAGGTCCCTTCTGGCTTTACAATCTATGAATCTAGATCAGGCGAATCAGCAAGGCTTTTTTTCACTTTTACTGTATCAGCTAAAATTAGATAAAAGAGCCAAAAAGCCCCACTGAAGTGTCTGATCTATACAGACACTGGGGAGCTGGGTCAAACTAATGAACTTCCTTTTCCAGTAAAACATTTTTTTTCATGTCTGTCAGAAGCCATAATAAGGACCAATCTAGTGTACTTTCTCTCATCCCATTCCCAGAGCTACCTTTCATGCTGACATGCAGAATCCCTAGCTGTAATTCAGCCCTCAGTCTGGATGCAGAGGACCTCCATGTATCCATTTTGCCTGTATTTCCCTTGTATTCATGTACCCTGGAATTGTATGAAAGGCCTTGCCTGAGCTCTCTGACAGTAGTTGAATTTGCCTTTAAAAATGAAAGGGAAAATAAATCACATACTCTAGTGACTTTTAACTGTTCTGTTTGGTTTATCTAACATTCTTTTACCAGACAGCAGTAGGTGATATGGTTGTTCAAGACCTTCGCTATTCTCCTGACACAAAAAAACTCCTAGTCCGTCTCAACGATACTTATGAAAGGTAAATGACACTATCTGACACAAGTGTTCTTGTAGAAATGTATGAATTGTTTATTCAGCAGTACTCATGTACAGGTTCTTTTTATATGTTTGTCTTTGAAACATGGGGATGTTAAAAAATGCTTCATCTCCATATTCTGTAAGTATATGTCTTTGGACTGTTATGATTTTGAATCTGTCAAGCTAAGCAGGATCAAGCATTCTCTGCATTTGAGTTGAATACCTCCCCTAAAAGACAAACTGGATGATAGGAAGAAGTTTTAGTGATGAAACAGATGATTTTCTGGATCCAGTTTGAAGAGTCTTTGTTTCTGGAGGTATTGGTTTTTTAAATAAGCTATAAAACCAAAGCCTTTAAATATCTCACAGTGTATGTTACCTTTCTGCCTGGGCATACATTCTACTCATGCAGAATATGTTGGGGGATTTGTGGCTATCTATGCTTATGCGTTCATAAATAATAACTTCATGGAACAACGTTCATCAGAAAAATTCCAAAGTGCTTTTCAATCTCAGAAGTTATTATTTTTCTGTTAGTATCAATTTGGCACTTTTCAGCACTTACATTAATACTGATTATTAAAATACACTGTGTTTATTTGATTCAAGGTCTGTCTTGGAGAAATTAAAAGTGAATGCCCAAGATCTTGTGCCAGCTGAGAAGACAGGAAAGGTGAAAGGGCTAATACTGACACTTAAGGGAAGTTTGAGTGAAAAACATAAAAATTATGACTTTTATTCCCGATACTTTGCACCATGGAATGGAGTTCTGGAAGATCCTGTTACAGGTGTGTTCATATGTGTACATGGGATTGATTCGTGGCTCAGTTCATGTGAAGAGCTCTCATTATAAACTTACACTGCATAGCTATTTGCATCATTGAAATTTTTCACTTTCTTTTGGAGTTACCCTTGTAAGACTCCAGGAATTAGCTCAGTAAGCTGGAAACTTTTGCAGTCGATATCTGACCCATTAAAAAATGTCCAGGTTTCTGCCGTTATCAGGCCAGAGATTTCTGCTTGTTTTTCATATCCCGTAAGTACAGAATTCCCATTAAGAGGAGGAAGGGCAGAGGCTATTAAACTAATATATTCACATGCATGTCTCGTGAAGTATTCATTGCTTTATTAATGGCACAGTTGCCTTATGATTTTTTTGCGACAACTTCATTTTTTTTTACCAGTATGAAGGTCTTTTATTGTTGATACTCTCACCTACATACATATTGTAAATGCTACTAAGAAAACAAGTGTATAGAGGTTGGGGTGACAAGAATTTAAATGGCTTCTTTGATCCTTCTCACTGGGTATGATGGTGAGTCACTGTGAAGAGCAGTGAGCTCAGTCTCCCTCTACAGCTTCTCTTGGGGCGCTTTAGTCTCAAACTTGTATGGCAGCTACCTCAGAACATCTTGACTCAGCGCTACTCCTGATTCAGTTGGCACATTCAATGTATTGGCATCACTGTTTTACACTAATTTGCTTCAGATGTTTTACTGTGATTGCTTGAGATCATTACTTATGGGTCACTAAAAATGGATAATATGGACAGTCACTCTAAAAAAGAAAGAACGGGTATAAAAATCGTTGTTTATGATGTGTTGTCCGCTGGTATTCCATGACACGTTCTTGTCTTCTACTATAGCATGCAATATAAACTTTGTCCCATTCCCACAAAGGAACTGAAAGGTAGTTATAGCCACTGCGTTTTTTGTCCTTGATTACAGGATGCTAAAGGGCATACAAGGAACAGAGTTCCAAAGTTCTTATTCTTTTTTTATTCCATGTTTATTATTATAACTCGAGATATTTGTATTGTCCATCTTCATTTCAATTTTTTAAAAACCTTGCTGAGCTCTTGGATCCACTGAAGATACTACAGTAAAGTTTTCTAGCTACCACTGTATCTGCTCAGGAAAGAAACTTGCTTGAGATTGCCAATTAGGTGCCTCCTTGCCAACAGAAGTCTTGTTGAGGGGCAGGTGACCTCACTGTAAAGATATTTTCTCTTCCTTCATGGTTTTACAGCTAGGAAAAGAGAGCTGAAGAATTTTAATTATGAACATTGTCCTTTTCAATGACATCTCAATGTCAAATTAATTATTTTAGCTGTGTAAGTGTCTTATATTGTGGTGTTCTACCTTGTAATGACTTCATAACTGCAGTACATGTTCTTTTGACCATGTGGCTTGATTATTATGATTACTTTACATGAGGAACAAAGCACAAGACTAAGCAGCATGCTTACCTGTGAAACGGAGCAGTCATGATGATAATGTTTCAAACAGTCTTGTTTTTTTTAATATTAGCTGCCTTTTAAGGTGATCCTATTAATTTTTGAGGTCCTCAGTGAGAGTTCTGAAAACTTATTGTGTCACATCCTGGTGTGGGTATCTTTTCAGTGACACCACTTACTTTTAAGTCAGGGGTCAGCAACCCCCGGCACACGTGCCGAGCATGACACGCAAGGCCGTTTTACTCAGCACACCACCGCCAGCCCAGGCTCTAAGCAGCTGATGCCAGCCACGGAGCCCAGGCTGTTCCCAGCAGGCGGCTGGGAGGCTTCAAGTCCTGCTGCAAGCAGACCAGGCTTCTTGGGCTGGCTGCAGCCGGGAGGCTGCAAACAGCTGCTCTGGGCTGTGGCATGTCAGCACTCCCACACCTTCCAAGGTAGACATTGTGGGGTTTTTTCGGCACTCCAGCCAAAAAATGTTGCCTAGCCCTTTAGGTGGTTCCTCCAGTCATGTACAAAACTATCAGGCAATTGAGCTTTTGTCATAACAGCCATGGGGTATAGAATTTTTTCTTTCTGGATGCTAATTTCAATCCACCTACTTCTACTTCTAAATTGCATCTAAAAACCTTGTTTTCAAGATTCTTTTTTCATAATCGTGTATGTGTCCTCTATAGCAACATCATTCCATTTGTTTAAATTCCTAATATTGTGATCTTTTGTTATTTTATTACAGTGTATTATATTTGTTGGCCAGCACTGATGTGCATTGGTCAAAGGATATAAATTTGTTATTTGTGGCTAATCATGAAGTCTTTATTTAGACAAAGCTCCCATTGAAGTCTGAGGAAAGACCTAATAAAACATGAAGAATTTCCCTTGTTAATGGTAGACTTAACCTTACTAACAGAAGTGTTATTCTAACTATTCCCCAAGCTCTTAAATATTTATATTCCAAATGCAACTCATGTTGTAATTGATTTGTTTAATAATTGTGTACATTTTAATTTGTGATAGCTATATAACAAGAGTTATCTTTAATGCAGTGTTATCTGATATCTTTTCATTTCTTTTAAGGATCTGCCCATGCTGTTTTAGGCAGCTACTGGTCACAGCACCTTGGTAAAAGTGAAATGCTTGGTAAGAAGACCTGTTTTTTTGAAAAAAATATCCTTTTAAATAAAAATAAATTGTATAGGCAAAGTATAAGCTGTCACAGTAAAACTGCCCAGTTTGACTTCCTTTACTCACTCCAGACAAAAAGACCTGGCCATATCATTAGTAGTAACATATTACAACCTGACTAGGATTTACCAGTTCAGGCAATCACCCAATCTTTGTTTCCTATGCAGAAAAGACAAGAATCAGGCTATTTCTACCAAAACATCTTCCTAGATGTACTAGATTATGTATTTGGGAATTATATAAATTAGCACATGTTCCTCTTCCTCAAGGAATTAGATTCCTCTTGATCAGAAGTAAAGTAGCATCTAAAGGCTTTAATAGACATATGGTACTAGGTGAGATATGTAGAGCAAGTACATGGAGTTGCAGTCATACATTACCAAACAGTGCTTTTTGGACTTAGCATCTAGAGCAGATATACTCATTTTTGTATAATAATTCTCCAGTCTTGGTATCATTAGGACTGTGCCTTCTTCTTTCCTGGATAGGAGTAAAGGCAGTCCTCCGACTTGCAACACAATTGGTTCCTGAAAACCATGTCTTAAGTCGAAACATTGTAACTCGGAACCAATTTTCTCATAAGAAACAATGTTATAAATTGGGGATTGGTTCCTGAACCAAGACCTGATACCCTATTTTCACTAAAAATACCGCAGCATTTTGTACTCAATCAATTATAGGTGAGTAATATAGCTACATTAATGTATTTATATTGTAAATAGCAATCATATTGATTTGGAAGGACTTCTTTGAGGTGACTTTGCTGGACTTTTTGAAAGGCTCTTGGTTGGACTTTTTGAAGGGTTCTTGGCTGGAGTCCTCTCAGGAGTCTTGGCTGCAGGTTTTTCTGGAGTCTTGTCTGCTTTCTTAAAGATAGTGTCCAAGGAAGTTTGGACAGATGTTCTCCAGGGAGATGAGCGACGCAGTGAACTTGTTTGCTGGCGTGGTGTCGCATTGGATCAAGTATTGTAAAGTTGAAACTGACATCATAAAGTTGAAACAGGATGTCAGTTTATAAACGTTGTAAGTGTGAAACGTTGTAACTCGAAATGTTGTAAGTCGAGGACTGCCTGTACTGTTAATTTATCCTATGAATGGGAGTAAGCAAAGGATACTTACAAAAAGGAGTAGGGCGTTCCTGACAAGTACACACTTGCAATTTTCGGCACCTCAAACCCCGTGCGGCATATGTGCACTCATTTGCTGCACTGCTCATTTGTACTGCGGCAGGTTTTTTTTCACACTGGGAAATCCTGGTATCAAAAAACAAAAAAATGCTGCTAAAAAAAGCAGCATGGCGCACGTGGCAGCGGTGTGCACTGCCTATGGGCGGCTGGTGCCTCCTGAGGCACCCCCACTCCCCAGCCGGCACTCTCAGTGGGGCACCAGTGCTTCTGCCTGCCCCACCTACCCCTGCCTATGCAGGGAGCACTGGCTGTCAGGGGGTGCACCAGTGCTCTCAGGGAGGTGTATATGCACCCCCGTGTATCCCCATGCGTCACCACTGGCACTGCCAGAAACTGCTGCCCTGGGAGGCCTCCAGGACCCTAGGTAAAGCTGCTGGGGCCAGCACAGGTGCTGGCCTCAGCCTCCCCTACCTCTCCTGGGTCAATTTGCTGCACACCAGATTGTGTGTGCAGAGGAGTGACCTTGGACAAATAGCAGCAGTACAAATGCACACATAGAGTATACTCAACTATAATGTGAGTTCTTGAGATGGACTGTAAAGTCACACTTCCCATCCACCTTCCCCTCTCCTTTGGAGTCCAAATTCATTTTAAGGGCTTGGAGATGCATAGGAAAAACTGAGGAAGGTATTATGCCACATCTCATTCTATAGTCTTGTCCACAGAATATTTCAAAATGTTGAGAGGAGGGTTAGGAGGGACACAGGAGGGCTTTAGTGGGCATTGCTACTTTGAGTTATAACACCTGTACTGCATTGGTTGATGAGCCCAGGAGTGTGACTATATGGAACCTGAGTCAAAGAACTTTGGTTACAGGTGAGCCACTTCCAGTTTTTCTTGGTAGGAAACTTTAGGCTAGTTCACAGGTGCTCAATCCTCTAGCCTGTGGAGCCATGGCATCCAGCCCACTGGGCTCCCCACAGGTCCAGAAATTTGGTGCCAGTGGAGTAGTGGCAGCTGGGGAAGTGTAGGGTCCAATCTGGGCACATCTGGCCTGGCCAAGGCTGTGTGGAGTCTGATTTGGGTATATGCAGCCAGGCCAAGGTGGCGAGGGGCCTGATCTAGGTACACATGGCTGGGCTGAGGTAGTATGTGGACTGATCCAGGTGTGTGGGGCCCAACTTTGTGCATTGACTGTGGCCTGTGTATTGGCTCTATACCACTCATCCAGTCCAGGGGGCCAAAATGGTGAACATGACTAAATAAGGTAATTTTTTTGTTTGTTTATTTCGGTATGGTTTTAGCACACTCTGTATGAATCCATATTGATTATTGAAGTAAATGGTTGGTTTAGGAAACTGGTTATAGTATATACTTTTTCATGTGAATGGTAATCACCTAACCAGTTAAAATTTGGCAGTTTTGACAGGTCTTCAGTGGGTGCATCTACATGAAACATTTACTGTGCAGTAACTTGTTACTACTGCGCAGTAGCATTGCCAGGCATGAACTGGGACGCGACACTACTGTGCAGTAGTAATGAGCTACTGCATGTTAAGCATCACTAGGCAACTCTGCCAGGACACTACTGCACGGTAATGCCGGTTATTGCGCAGTCATTTAGTACTTGGTTATGCAAGTACTAAATGACTGGAGAGTAACAGCTGTGCAGTGGGTGGCTTGTGTAGACAAGCCCATTGTCATTTAAGTGCCACCTTGCTGCATTTATAGATGAAAAAGCTTTGTCTAGACAAGTGGGGAAAAAAAACCTTTCATTTCTTTTACAGATGCATCTCTCTGCCTCCTTGCCTTCTTATGTTTTTGATTCCATTTGGTTGAACACAGTGGTTCCACATAAATCTTTTGGTTTCTAATCTCAAATAGAGGGGTTTATACAAATGTGCCGTAGGCCTAGGCATTGTTATGAATTGTGAAGGAAAGCTCCTAACCCCTTCCCTCTTTAAGATTAGAGTGAGGTTTGGGAGGTTTTGCTGTGGGCGTTGCCCTTGTCACCTTTTGGGAGGATGAGAGATTTTTTCCTCAGACTCCCAGATTAGCCTGAGCTGTGTGGGTTTTTTTTACCTTCTGACTAGCCTGAGCTGCCTAGGAGCCTGGTGGGTCAGTTATATAATAAATTTTTTTTCACAACTTGACAAGTGCCTGTTGCAGGTAACTGTTGAATAAGCAGATTCTCTCCCTGATAAACTGGAATGGGAAGTGATCTAGAAGAAGTCATTTCCTAAAGAAGGCTTGGAATGGGACTGTGGCCTTCAATGTTTAATGTGGTGGAGAAACAAATCTTCTTTGTCACCTTCCTCACTTCTGTTTGAGGAGAAGACAAGGGGGTCATAGTGTTGCTTAGGACCAGATCAAGAGGATAGCAGACCTCCACCAAGTTGAAGAGATAATAAGAAAGAAGACCTGCAGTAGAGATATTATTGCTGTTCCTAGATGTGTTACTTTGTGGCCTAGTTAAACCACGTTCCAGGTATCTTGTCTTCCTACATTGTCCAGAACAAAAGATCTGATAGTCTCAGTTTTGATAGTTGCATTACAAAACCCATTATTCATTATTTGTGTTAACAATTAGCATTCTTGTTAGTTTCAGTAGAAAAGCAACGGCTAACCTGGAATAGGTCTTTACCTATTTTTACCCCATAAAGGTGATCCATCCGGAGTGGTAGTGATGCATACTGATTAAGCAGTGTTTGTAATGCTGCTGCCTGTGTTGTACCTATTCTGTAGATAAAGAGGCCTTAAGTTTCCAGAACCTTTTTTATGAATAACAATTTATTTTAAAATAGTGGATAACCAAAATATTGATAAAAAATCTATACTCTTTTGTTTCTATTTTAGCTTGTCAGTGTTCTCCCCGTGGAGGAGAAATGAAGATCTCACTACAGAGTGATGGAAGGATTGACATCGCTGGTCAAGTTGTTATTGTCTTAACAGGCAATTTGACATTCTGAAGGGAATCAGCACTAACAGCTCCATCTGTCTGAGCTTCAAATTATTCAAATTGTATCTGGTTATATCTTGGTCTTAAAGTGCAAATCATCATCACTGTCTTGTGAAACCCATAATTCTTAATTGTTTCCTCCCCGCTTCAGAGATTACTTGAAAATTGTCTTTCAGGTCTTCAGGGTGTTCAGTGGACTTTCTCTTGATCATCCTATATCCTTCTAAACTAAATGATTCTTTTTTGTTTCTTTTAAATCCCAGATTTCTTCTTGCCTTTTTCCTTTTTGCAGGTATAGAGTCTTTTCTCACACTGTCCAGTAACATCCTTCTTGTATTCCTACTCCTGTGATCTCCTTTTTATGTACAGACTCATCTTAAAAGCTATTTCTGGTCTCTTTCACTCGCTCATAAAATAATTAAATCCTTCCTTTATGTTCAATCTCTCTTTCTGAAGTCTGACCATTGTTCCTCTTTTTTCTTTTCCTTGCATCCTGTCTTTAATAATTTACTTGATTTAAAATGTGAAAACTAATTGTACGTGAAATCCTCTTTCTTTCTTCTCTTTTGAATTATGCTTTTCAAGAAGAATTATATTGAAGAAGCTTATAACATTAAATCTTGATTTGAAATTTCTGGCTGAAGAACACAGATGGCTACACTAAGCTACTTTTATTGAATGCTTCAAAATCTGAAGCTTTCCTCCTAGTTCAAAAGTCCTTTCTGCAGTGTCCTCTCTGTGCAACATTATCTCTAATCTTATGTCAGCTATTTTCTTGAGTCTTTACTTTGCTGCTGTTTTGGTGTTCTCTCAATTCATCATTTAGGAATATAAGACTCTTTTAGTTGTCATGACCAGTTTATCTACCACTCTTTCTTCCTCTTTCCAAGTCACTTTTTTTCTAAATTTTGCTTTAAGTCTTTCATTTTTTTTCTTTATTTTGTAATTATCTCTCAGTGTGTACAGCATTTTTAATTCAAAGGTATTGTCATCCTGCATGATCAGTTGGCAGTAATTTACATGGCTTATATATATTGGGGAGATTGGCTGTACTGAAGGTGAACTCCAGTACTGTCATTACTTTGTGATTTTCATCTTGATAATCTCCAAAGCTCCTGGAGATGAGTAAAGATGTAAAAATCTCAGATTTCATTTTAAAAAGTAAGTTTCTCACCCTCATAGTTGCATATAGAATATTGATAATGTGACTTGAATATCTTAAAGGTTCACAGCCAGTAGGTAAACAAAAGGAACCTCCAATTAAAAATAAAAATAAAAAATCTCACGCATGCTTTTGGCCTGGCTCATGAATTTTGAATATTTGAGGTTTTCGTACTGAAACTCAAACATGAGGGAGGGCACTGGAGTCAGCCTAGGAGGAGCATGTCTTGCAGCCAATTGAAAATAACCTGCCCACTTTTGGAGATGCACTGCTCACTCAAGACGCCTGGTAGACCAGCAAATGTGGGCAGCTTGCTCTGCTACATTCCCCATTGTAGGCAGGTTACTCAGGAAGTGAGAGTGACCCACAATCTAATCTGAGAAATGTTTTTAGAAAAACTCCTTTAGAATGTTGATGCATAAAAAAGCAATTATTGTTCACCTGTCCAGATTTAACAAATAGACAGTACAGCTTTCTCCCCCAAGGGGACTAATAATCAACAAAGCCCAATAACTTTTAAATGTGCCTGCTATCTAAATCTTCCTGACCAAACCAATATACTTGCTGCTTAATGCAATTTTTTTTGTAGTTTATTTTTTCTTAGCCTCCATTTCTGTTCAGGATAGAAAAATCACCAGAGCTCAGGTGGGAGACTCTGCAGTAATGTGTTTGTAATCATCAGATTAGTTAATCAGCTATGATTTATTAATGATGAATTAATTATACCTGATTGTGCAGTTCTGCTGGCTAAATGGAGCTTTAAAGGGGTTATTTTATTAATCATCACTGTGCTAATTGCAGACACTTACAGGAGGATCACTAATTAAACATGCAACCATATGCAAAACAAGCTAGGCTGCTGAGTGCAGCAAGAATAAGAACACTCATTTTCTGACTAACAAACTTTATTTTCCATGAAATATTATGTAGTTGACCTGGTGATGCTAATTACTCACCAAGAATTATTTTAATATGTTACACATTTTCAGTCAGCAAAAAAAGGAAATTGATCTTTAAACCAAATTCCATAGGCATTCTGTCCCAGCCAAATTCTATTGAGCTTTCCTGGTGCAAAAGCTGTAAGCCATGTGAACAATCCAAAAATAAATTGTTTACAGTTTCTGTGAGATTTTTCACATTTCCATGGCAAATTATTAACCATGCAAATGGAAGATGATTTTTAGAAACAGTTGTCATAACCTGCAGCAAGGTACTGAATATCACTTACTATATGTAGTAGAGTGGCTTCAACACATCGTAAAACTAAGGCAATTATAGATTTTAAATATAAAGTATAAATGAGTGTTTAAAACAGAAAACAAATGAGGTAAACCTTGGTTAAAAAAGGAAATACTGGAAAAATATGCATCAGAAGGTTTCTAGAACGGGTTGGCAGCCTATGGTTTGTGGACTGGATCTGGCCTGTGGAGTCATTTGATCTGGCATTCGGATGTGGAGCTATGGCGCTGTCATTTTTCCCTGCAACCACAGGAAGACTGGGTGATTTCACTGTGCTGCCATGGGGAAAAGTGATGCTAGTCCTAGCACCTACCTTCACCCTCCTGCATCTGATCCAAACTGGGTCAGTCTGGCATGCAGCCTTAAAGGTTGCTGCTGTTCTAGAACATTAGAAAGGAAACGGGAAATACGTAGCAGTAGATCATATGGAGCACATTATAACTATATAATTACTGCATCTTCCTCTCAACATGAATAAATTCCACTACAATCAGTTTGATGAAAATTAAATGGTTGATTTTAACCATTTGATCTTCAGGGTGCACATTTCATCTTGCGGAGTATATTGTGCCCTTAAAATATTAATAATAATGTCTGAATGCTACAGTGTTTTGGTGTAGATGATTTCCTTACCATTAATTTCCCCTAAACTCTTGTTTTATTCAGATGGTTGTCTTCCTTACTAAGTAAATGGCAATTGACTTTAAAAGCAATGGCATTACCCAGTATAACCTGCAAAATGACCAAAATTAATCAAAATAAAAGTGGTGTTTGTATTATTTTTAGTACAAAAAGCTTAATTCTTGAGGTTCTGATTAAATGATATGTTGGCTTAAATTATCCAGTTATTGGATTAAATGCAAATCCCACAGCAGACCCAGTTCTGAGCTGTTTATGACTCCCTTATGGTGTTCAGCTCACATACTACTACTTGAGGAAAACTCCTGTCACTACTCTCTGGTATAGAGTTCTGAGGCTAGTATAGGGCTGGTGGATCCTGTCTATGCTGCATACTTTATAGAGATGTGCCAAAGGAATAGCTTTGGGTCAGCAGGAGCAAGGAAGAGGACTGGAGATATGTCTGAACTGTCTTGCACTCTGATATTCTGGACCACAGTAGTGTTCCATAAGGGACCAGTCAAAGCCAGGATAAATTAGAGTAAGTTCTAGGTTAGACCAGAATTCAGGAGATACAAGTGTGATTTAAGAACAGCTCAGAATAGCATGCAAATGACAAATTTAAAGGAAGCAAAGTAAAAAACTAAAACCAGCCAAACAAACACAGAAATCCTAACACACAAACCAATAGGTTTATTGTTATAGGAAATGCAAAAGCATAGCAAAAGAAAGCAACAAACTTATAACAAAAGTCAAGATCACATAAAATAAGCAATTTAAACACTTAACATGCTTGTGAAAGTCCATTGTTGTAGTTATTTTTTCCTGTGAGAAGCAACAGAAAACATGCTTTAAAAATTTAAGACTACAATTGAAAAGGTAAACTGCAAAAGATGGAAATAACCAATAAAAAACATTGCAAATCTTTGCTTGGCAAGAGGTTATTGAGAAAAATCATGTGCATTGTGAGGGATGGTTAGGGAAACTTAGCAACAGATGAGGAAGATACTGTTGGGAAACTAAAAGATTTCTTTGTCTCAGTGTTCATCAGAGTGACAGGGAAACATGCCAGAAACAGAGGAAAGCTTCCCAGGGGTTGAAAATGGATATTGAATGAAAATTAAGCACAATGGCAAAGCCTCTAAAAATTAATTTAGTGTAGTTAAAAAGATTCTCTGGGATTGGGAATTTCTGGATTCCTTTTTGCAGCCGACCAGTTTGGCTTTTAATTTGTTCCCAGACTTTTAAAGCAAAAGTTTAAGTAAAACATTATTTTCAGTCTTCCTGAGTTTTTTCTTTTTTTCTTTCCC